ATCATTTTGTGCCTTCTGTACAGCAGGTGTCAGCGCGCTCGGAGAGAGCCACACGAGATGCCCTTCTCCGCATAGTGGAGCGGAAAAAATGCCTGGTGGACCGCCATAGGACCCTGCCACCGACTTACGCACCCGGACAAAAGGTTTGGCTGTCAACCAGATTCATTCCGCTCAGATCTGAATCCAAGAAACTGTCTCCTACCTTTATTTGCCCATTCAAGATTGACTCTCTGGTTCACCCGGTTACAGTCTGCCTTAAGCTGCCCCAGAATATGCGGATTCACAATGTTTTCCACGTGTCGCAAGTGAAACCCTGTCTCTCCAGTCCTTTGTGCCCTCCTTCCAGACCCAGGCGTCAGGGGCCTGGGGCATGGTTTGTAATACCTGGTGGATTGGGAGGGCTGCGGGATGGAGGAGCGTTCATGGATCCCATGGGCGACACTTCTGGACAAGAACATGGTGCAGGCATTCCATGAGGCACACCCTGAGAAGACTGGAGGTCGCCGGGAAGGCTCCCGTTGGGGGAGGGAGTACTGTCACGGCCTGGATGATCAGCAGGACGCCAATCACCAGCTTCTGCTTTTCTCTCTTTGTTCTCTCTTTCTCTCTCTCGTTGGTTAGAACTCATTGCGGGTTGACGCCCTCGGCCCATGCCCCTCGTAGGAAGAAACATCTGAGCCTCATTAGTGTGTCCAGTATTCAATCCAGGGAGCGACTACTGTTCTTATCTGGATCGTTGCATGACTCGCATTAGTGAAGTCAAGCTTCAGCAAGTGTTCTCTCATGTCTTAGTGCTTTGTATTAACAAGGGTTTCTTTTTGTACATACTCCCTGGATTGTTTCCTCTGTGTTTCCCGTGACGAGTGTCGGAGAGAGAGACTGATTTCGTGTGTGGATTGTTTGGAGAGGCACAATTGCTTTTTCTCCCGGATTTCCCTGGAGTCCTGTCCCCTCACCTTTTGTATATAGCCCAGGGCTGCACCTAAAGCTTCCGGTTGCGCCGTTAGATGGCTGCACCGACGAGAGCTCCCAGTCATCTCAGCAAAAATGTTATTATTTATTTTGTACTGCTTTCAATTTCTGTGCGCACAGCGCGATCATACACTTGGTATGACAGACAAACGCTTCTGGAGCTACGTTCGTCAGCCAGTTCGGACTTTACAGCGGGTTTCGACTCCGTGGACGCTCTGCTGCCTGGGATCCTTTGTTTACTCCCGCGACGTCGAGGGAAAACAAAGAGGGGGAAACGCGCCGGAGTTTTGTGCCGAACGCAACAGAGAAACAGCAAGCCACCTCTTCCCAGCATCCTGCTCGCGAATCTCCAGTCTCTGGACAACAAACTTGACGAGCTGCGTGCACGGATTAAACACCAACAAGACATCAGGAACTGCTGCGTTCTGGCCTTCACAGAGACATGGCTGGAGCCCAGCGTCCCCGACTGCGCCATCACGCTGGATGGATTCACTGTTTACCGGGGAGACCGAACGAAGGACTCAGGCAAGAAAAGGGGAGGAGGGGTGTGCTTTATGGTTAACTCCTTGTGGGCTAGAGATGTGTGTATCTTAAAAACTTACTGCTCTCAGAGTCTCGAGCTGCTGACCATTAAAGTCAGGCCTTTTTACCTCCCGAGGGAGTTCAGCTCAGTTCTCCTCTCAGCTGTTTACATTCCCCCACATGCTGATAAAGCTACTGCTATGGACGAACTGTATGACATCATTACTGAACTTGAGAACAAAAATCCAGAAGCTGCCTTTATTGTGCTGGGAGACTTCAACAGAGCCAACACGAAGAAGGTTCTCCCCAAATGCTATCAGCACATCTCCTTCCCCACAAGAGGTGATCAAACATTGGACCACTGTTACACTCCATTCAAAGTGTGCTACAAACCCCTCCCCCGCCCAGCTTTTGGTAAGGAAGACTATTGTTCCATACTGCTGCTGCCTGCATACAGACAGAGACTAATACAGGAAAAACCAGCTTCCAGGGTTATTTACAAATGGGACAGTGAGGCTGAGGAGGTCCTGCAGGACTGCTTTGACACAACTGACTGGCAGATATTTGTGGATGCAGCTGATGGCAACATCAATGAACTCACAGACTCTGTCATTGGATATATTGGAAAGTGCATGGATGATACCATCACAAAAACCACTGTCCGCATATATCCAAATCAGAAACCCTGGGTAAATAAAGACGTTCGCGCCAAGCTAAAAGTGGGGACCTCTGCCTTTAACTCCAGGGATGCTGATGCATATAAAGCATCCAGGTACGACCTCCGAAAGTCCATAAAAAAGGCCAGAAAGGACTACAGGGACAAAATGGAGTCCAGCTACCACAGCTTTGACACCAGGCGACTGTGGAATGGACTGCACTGCATCACTGACTACAAGAAGGTCAACACAGGCAGTGTTCAGCCCACTGCATCTCTTGCAGACGAGCTTAACAACTTCTTGACGCAGACAACAGAGAGCAGATACTCTACCATCAGGAGGACAGTGAGGCTGCAACTCTAACTCTGAAAACAGAAGCTGTGAGATGGACCTTTAAAAAGGTAAATCCTCACAAAGCTCGAGGACCAGACGGCATCCCAGGCCGGCTACTCAGAGTGTGTGCAGACGAGCTGGCAGAGGTGTTCACCAACATCTTCAACCTCTCCCTGAGGCAGTCAGTGGTCCCCACGTCCCTCAAAGCATCCACCATCATTCCCGTTCCCCAAAAATCAGTGGTCTCCTGTCTGAATGACTACCGTCCTGTTGCACTGACATCCGTCATCATGAAGTGCCTGGAGCGGCTGGTCAAAGGTCATATCTGCTCCTCCCTCCCTGACACACTGGACCCTCTTCAGTTTGCCTATCGGACAAACAGAGCCACAGAGGATGCCATCGCCCTGGCAACGCACACCACCCTCACTCACCTGGAAAAAGGGAATACATATGCAAGGATGCTCTTCATCGACTACAGTTCGGCATTTAACACCATCATCCCCTCAAAACTTGCCAC